CGGGGCGAGCGGGAGCGGTGGCCGCTGGGCTGTCCCCTCTGGGATGGCACTGCTCCCAGCATGGCCCCATCGCTCCCACCCCATGGGACATGAGGGGAAAAGAGCCTTCTGGGGAGAAAAGTGGCCATGGAGGGGATTTGTGCCTGTGCAGGATGGGCCCAGCCAGAAAAACCCTGCAGGGACAAGATGGAGCAGGGATATGAAATGCTCTTGCCTGGCTGCGGGAGCCCAGCCACAAGCCCCCTCCTCCCCCCGGCCCAAGCCAGCAGATGCTGCAGGATGAAGACACCCTCCTGGTGTTTACCGTGGTCACACCAAGCAGAGACATGACCGAAAGCACCGAATCTCTGACACACACCCCCGAAATGAGCAGGGCAGGAGATACCGACAACCACCACTGGACCCTTGGTCAGCATTCGCACTGCTGCTGCGGCCGAGCGGGTGACAAGAAAGGATGCAGGGACCGCACTGCCCCTTGCTCCTTAGGCATGGAAACCCAAGCTATCACCCTCCGTTCCTCACCCTCCACCTCATCATTCAGCCCAGGACAGGAGAACATCGAACTGCAAGGTAAGAGCAGCTTGGTCCATGCTGCAGTGTCCAGTGCCTCCCTCCAGCACCCCCTCCCTCCTCCACTCGCTGTCTTTGCTGAGGGGGGGAAAGAAAACCAGCTCCATTCACCCAAACCTAAGCGGCATTCAATCTCAGAAAGTGACTTCACACTCAAAATGGTCCAAGCCCTCGCCACGCAAGCGGAGAGGGCTCCGTGCGTCCCGGCGCAGCTGCCTCATCTCCCTTCCCACCTTGCAGGCACCGGCACATGGGGTGCTCTGCCTGCTCGCAGCCAGAGGGATGGTTTTTACCCCAGGGGAGCATGACTGGGTACAGATGTGCTTCCCCACAAGGGTTGGGGTGGGTGGTCAAGTCATCTTGGTCTCCCTTTCATCCCCAACACAGTGCCAGGACATCAGGGACAGGGTACAAATCAGAAACATGGGGTGAAGGGCAAAGGGGGTTTATAGAGGGGGAAGAGAAGCTAATGAAGACTGAATGGCAGCAAGAAAAGAGTTGAAGGGGAAAAAAGGCATTTAAAGGAAAAAAGGACCTGGCACAAGAGTTCCCGGGAGATGGGCAAGAAGGGGCTGGCACTGCAAGGGACAGTGGGGGAGCGGAGAGCAGAAGTGGCAGTGGAGGGGAGGCGAGAGCAGTGGGAAGGGGAAGGGAACACGGCCAGCAGGTGGGTGCAAGGGGGAGGCCCTGGAGATGCTCCCATTCACCCAGGAACAGACGAAACACCCCTGTATAGCTTCCAGCTATTCATTTTCCCATGTTCTGCCTCCTGTGGATCCTTTTGCAAGCAGCTGGGGATGCGAGAGGGCTCTGCAGCTCGGCCGAGCTGGGCTCTCGCTAAATAAAGAGCTGTAGAGAACGGGGGAAAAAAAGAAGGAAATTCCACAGGAAGTTCAAATATTTTATTACTTCCTGTTTGTACAAAGTATGTCAACACTTGGCACCCGCTGCGCCATTTGTTTAGAGCGAAGGTGTCAACTTGAAAAAATGTCCTTTTTCGCTCCAGATCTAGTGCAGCAAGAGGCTGAGCATGAGGGAAAAAAAAAAACATCTCGGCGCGAGCGAGCGGGGCACTTCGGAGGGAGCCTGCGTGGCGGCTCGCAG